TTTCTTTCTTTCTTTCTTTCTTTCTTTCTTTCTTTCTTTCTTTCTTTCTTTCTTTCTTTCTTTCTTTCTTTCTTCCTTCCTTCCTTCCTTCCTCCTTCCTTCCTTCCTTCCTTCCTTCCTTCCTTCCTTCCTTTCTTTCTTTCTTCCTTTCTTTCTTTTTGGTTGATTTACACTGCAAACAGACATCATTTTCTCTTTCTGAGGTTTATATTGTTTCTTTGTACATTTATTTCTATAAAATTACATATTATATTTAGTGCAATAGCTTTTGCTATATTAATATTTGGAAAATGAGTTGTTCATTTTAACTCATCCTCTTCAAAGTTAGATCAAGGAAATACTCTGATTTATATAGAGCAACTTAGTTGATTTTAATTGACTCAGATACAAAATTTACAACATTGAACATTCACTTTTATTTTATAAAGATTGTGTAGCAGACAATGAGAATGGTAAATTCATTCTAAATAAGATGGAATTTTAGTTCTGCTACAATTTTCAGTTTAAAATATGAATAAAGTTGCAACAAATAGAAAAATTGTCAAACTGGGTGCAGGCATTTTGGTACCCAAACCAGGAATAAACTTGACAGCCTCGGCAATGTTGGAGACCTCTGATCTGAGGATGGCTTCATTGATGCCCTGAATCCCAATGTAAGCTTGGTACCATTTTCAATATTTTCTGGTTTGAATTTAAATTTTTCCTTTGAGCCAGCCTCTTTAGGAGTAACAAAATGAGTATTCACTATAGTAGCCTTGTTAAAATCTTCTATATGCCAAGAACGCTTACTCATTCTGATGACGTATCTATGCGCTGGAAAAGAGACAGGTGTTAAGAGTTACCAGGACGGTTCTCTGTACTGCACTGCACCTGTGTAGGAGTTACCAGACTTGCATGCCAAGCTTTAGTGATGGAGAGCCCAGGTACACTTTGTATCTGGCTATCTCGTCTCACTGACTTTAAAGACAAGTATATGAACAGTTATTTCAAAAAATGTCCAGTTACAAAAATCACAGAATTCAGTATCGGTAATACCAGCCTGCCACCCAGTGTCCAGGTTTCTTTTTAGAAGGACGTAGAAAGAGCTTCACTCAGTTTTAAGTTAGAACAAGGAACGCATAATGTTCATGTGCAGTAAAGACCGTGAGTATCTTCTGTGACTTTTTATTAAGTTGAAAGAAGGAGTAATGGGGTGGGGGTGGGGCACTCAGTGAGAGACCAGAGAAGAGATGAGGCTGAGTCAAAGGCACAGAAGCCGGATGAGCACTAATTACACTAATGTACTCGGGACCTAGTGCGGCCTCGACCAGCATCTTGATTTCCTTCTTGTCATCCTTCTTGTCACATAAGGTGAAGATTATCTCCTTTAAACTGGGTTTCCAGATCTGTCACTTTACTGGGTGGGAACACAGGAGTGTGGCCCCCACCATGAGGTGCTCCAGACACAGTGAACGAAGTTCCAGACACAGTGAAGGACCCTCTAGGGATTTCTGTGTTTACCATAACAGTGTCTGTGACTACTACCGAATACTCAGATCTTGGTGGATTCCATATAATTGTATCTACACACCCGCAAAAAAAAAAAAGTAATTTTCTATGTTTTCATGTCTGTTTTTGTAGGTTGATCTTGAAGCTACTCAGTGCTAATGTTGATTAACAGCAGATATTGAAACGTACAACGTTTATTGAAAGAAAAGCTTGTTTTAACAGAATTTTGAAATGGATGAGGGAACATTACATTTTAGTTAAACTATATCTAACACTTGCCTGTAAATTCTTTTAGGACACAAGTTGTATTATCTGTATTTGCAGCTCCAGCACCTAGCACAGAGCCTGCATCATAAAGATGCTGAGTGAGCTTTATTGATGTAAATGGAATGATGACTTGAAGGGGTATTAACAAAATATGCAGAGATATGGTCTATGAATCCACTGACCTGAGTTTGACTTTGAAACATTCAGATGATTAAAAGGAATTACATGCCTGGATTTTCAGTAGTCCATTATGATTTTTGATGTTTGTTGTATTCATTAGACCTAAAACCACACATATTTCTGTTTGGATGTTACTTACCATTTTCAACATAGCCAGGTACATATAGAGCCTTGTTTGGTTGTTTTAAATTTACTTTAGTGATGGTTTTTCTTGCCGTGACCCTGACTTTTAAGCTGTATCTCCCATTTCCATGGTACTCTGCAAAATATCTTGAGTAGACGCCATCATTTTTGAGTGTATCAGCACCTTGGCAATGGAATGTAAGAATTAGTTATCTAGTTAGAAAAATGACAGTTGTGACTGTGAGCACAGGTGATGTCAGTGATTTCACAGATAAGATAGCACAGTTTCAAGTACATGAATCCTAGAGTCACATCGTTTTGCTTCAAAGCTTGTTTTGGTCACATGATGACTCTGTAGTGTTGGAGTAATTCACAGTAGGTGTTCAGTCCTTTTGTGGTGCACATTTGATTAGTAATAGCTGTTCTTATTTCATATAAGAAACTTACCAAGATAAGAAAATATAGAGAAAATGAAGTACATTAAAACTGACAATGGAGATGGAGAAGAACTGTACTCAACTTCCTTCCATGGTTCAAGTAAAACTGCTCACCAGCTCTGAAGATGACGATGGTGTTTACGTCTGTGCAGAGGTTTGACACATTACAACTAGATTCCATTCACTTTGAAATACAGTTTTTAAGCCTACAGAGGAAGCATTGAGATAGAGTCCAGAGAGAGAATTTTACATTCTGTGGTGTCAACTCGGGTTCCCATTACCTGCCCCGTTGTCCCAGAGCTCCAGTGTGACTTGATGTCCATCTTCAGCTTCTATAGTGGCTGTGACACTGGCTCCCAGAACAGGCAGACATCCTTGGCTGACTCGTGCATACACAATCATTGGGCTAGTGTACCATGCTGTGTTTTGACTCACGTGAGCAGTTACAATTACTGGGGGTGTGGTAGGACTTCTTGCTCTAGTGGTCACCGTCACTGTTAGTGACTGAGATTTGCCAGCCTTATTAAAGAGGCTGTAGGTCCAAGTTCCTGTCTGAAAAAAAACAAACAAACATATATTAATTGCTTTGATAGTGTTTTCTTATTCTGTGCTTACGATATATAATTACCTAGAAATGTAAAAAGAATAATCATTTCTTGTTTGATGATGAGGAGGGAGCCAGGGCCTCATGCAAGCTAAGCTAGTACACCACTCAGACACTGCCTCAGCCTAAGTAATGATTTTAATATCTGATTTCATAAACTAATAACATGGGTATGAGTTGCTATGTGTTCCATTAAGATTATTTTTAAGATGACTTATCTGTTACTGTTTTAGCATTGAGAACACAGAAGAGCACTTTTGCCCCACCTGCAGGGCTACAACAGGTTCTCGACCACCCTAAGGAGGGAATGTAGGGACAGGAGATACAAAGGAAAACACACCAAGTCTAGATTCTGATCAAGGTGCAACTTCATTTTCTTCCAGAATGGTTTATATAGTTCCTGCAGAGTGAGGGGAGCAAGAAGCTGTCATCTGTATAAGGTGGGGCAAGCTAACAGGATGTTTGTATAGGATGTTTACAGGGTGAGAGGGTCAAGGGCTCTGACTCAATGTCCTGTTGCTAGGTAACCTGACTGTAAGATGATCTAGTTCCCTGTCTTATCGGGGGTTCTGTATTTTTCCACTAACTAGAGATTCTGTCCTTGTCCCTGACAGCCTTTATTTTCTAATATAAATTGATAATTAATGAAAACCAAAGAATAGATTACCTCTGCGATGCCTGGTATTCGAAGTCGGACAGAGAAAATATTTAGCTTATCATCACCTCGGAAATCTGAGGTTGTGTATTTTTTTCCTTTTGGATCTTGAAGAATAATTTCTGGCTTTTGAATTGTCCAGGTGATAACAAAGAATGTGTCATTGCCAATGGTACTATCCACCAGTACTGTACCGTTTATCAATTCCTTCCCTTTAATATTCAAGGCTTTGCTCTCCAATTGTTAGAGAAATAAAAAACAAACATATAAAACCCCCTATGTTATTACTATGGAATTTTAAAGTTTAGCAGTTCAATTTTGGATTTAAAAAATATTTCAGTTAGAATTTTTAAATATTTTTTCAGTAAAATAATAGGTAAGTAAAAAATTAAATTATTAAAATTAAATTTAAAAAAACTATAAAGAGTAAAAATAATATTATAAGGAATGAAGGACTGGAGGAGATGAGGCATGTGTAAGCCATGAGAACCAATTCAATAAGGAAGTGCTTCCTGTATACAACAGAACTGTTTTTTAAGGAAGAGTTATTTGTTAGAGAAGACTAGTTAGTAATTAGGATAATAGGAGTTTATTACAACAGTGAGAAGACAAAGGGTTTTGCTGACCTGCAGAGCCTGCTCAGAGATGCTGCCACTTCTAGATGAAATCCCGCTGAAAGCATCCATGAGGCCATTCACATCGTGATTGGCATAAAAGCGAAGCCCTCCTGAAGGGGAGTTTTCAATGGGAAAGCCTAGTTACTTGTGCTGTCATTGATCTATTTAACCCTCTATTTCAGATGTTTAGTTACACTCCACAAAACATTACTTTGCAAGATCCTCAGTGTTGTAGTGTCCCACGCAGAATTCTACAATTACTAAAACCTTGCTCAAAGGAAGTGTGATAAGAACAAAGGGAAATTAAGGAATTAAAATTGTTTTTGATTGATAATCAGCCACTAAATAGAAGTGCATGCTTTCTTAGCAAAGCCTGAATGCAATACAATACTACAGAAATGAAATTTAAACCAGTTCTTAGAAGCTAATGGCTTATTTTCTAGTTGGATCAAAACCACATCAATGATAATTAAATATTGACCGTTTAGAACAAAGTAAAGATTGATGAAAATAGACAATGGAGACAAAGGAAGAGGGAGATTACTTACATGTAAGAAGCTGAGAAAGAATAGGTTACAGAGGAGAAATGATTGCTTAAAATATGGTGTTCATTAATACTTATGGAACTAGTAAGTGTCAGGAAGTCCATCTGGGTGATAACTGCAGTAGCCACACAAGGCTTAGGATGCACTGGGACCTGACAGAAACACTCCAAGATGGAATGAGCCCTGAACGGGTAGTCAGGCCTTTCAGGCAAAGCATTTACAGCCTCTAGGTGTCCATTTGCCCTTCCATAAAATTGGGATGTCCAAACATTTTCTGTGGGATTGAATGTGTTTTTAAACTGAGAAATAGTTTTGGACGCAGTTGAGAAACCATAGAGAAACAAGGTTCTGATTAGCGGTATTGGTTGAAATGGGGAGCAGAATGAACGGTGACAATCAATAAGGAAGAACCTGAGAAGTTCACATACGGAGGAGTGAGGGGCGGGGAGAAAAGAACCCGAGTGGGACCAAGCGAAGATGAATTTCTAGACAGGGAATTTTTGAGCAGTTTTCAGCCTATGGAGAAGAACATGTGTGGCAGGACAGACTACAGACGATTGTCCAAACACTTCCGAAGTTGTACCTGTCATGTCGGACAAGGTCTCCAGTTCTCTAGCAGCGGAAGGCCCCAGAGCGATGGTGTGGATGACGGCACCACTGCTTTTGACTTCCTCAAAGCATGAACTTATCTGGCCATCTTCCCCATCTGTCAGCAATATGATCTCAGAACCGGAAGTCCTCTGGTCACTGGAGGTAATTGCCTGAATGGGAAAAGCCACGTTACTAATCACAGAAAAATGATTTCTGAATAAATGAAAAGCAAGAATAAACTGTCTTTCAGTTGGAGGAGTCCTTGGGCTTCTGCCCGAGCCGGAGTCTGGATTTGCCTAGTCTTCTAGCAGGACACAGAGGGGCTGCAGAGAGCAGGAAGGCTACTTTTCTCTTCTTGCAGATGACTTGTTTTTATCGGGTTAGAATATCATATATGAGGAGCTCAGGAGCTCACCACCCTCGCTAAAAGTTAAAAGTGGTCAATGGCAAGTGACAGTAATTAATTTTCTTTTTTAACCTGGAATCCGCTTCTGAGTCCATTGCAAATTGAAGTTCCATTCCCGACTTGTCGAGGCAGGTTTGCACTGATCTCTAGGTAGGAGTTCTCACTGGTCATTCTTGCTAGAAGGTTTCGGATTGTAGCAGTGCTATCAAATGTGACCAGGCCAACCAAGGATCCCTTTTCAATAATTTGAATTAAGAACAGCTCTGCTGCTTGGTTCATTCGGGTGAGATGAGTGATAGGGTTTCCCTGTAAAAAAAAATGTGTATATAGTATATATAGACATATGAAGAACCCAGGAGTCTCTTGAAACCTTGTGAGACTGGTAAAAGACAAGAATCACCAAAGACCATAGATCTTGGCAATAATTCTTTGGTGTATTTTAAAGTTTAACTTCTTTATGTCATTAAAAATTAAACCTATGGAAAAAAATCAGTTTGGCAGTTTGATAGTTAGCTCAGCGGTTAAGACTTCCCACCTCTATCTAAGAAGAAACAGAGGAGGAAGAATGGATTGGGGAGGGGGTAGGTGAGGGTGGAGGGGAAACTTTGGTTGGGATGTAAAAACAAAAGAATAACTGAACAAAAACAAAAATGAAACAAAAAACAAAAAAGAGTTCTTTCTGCTCTTGCAGAGAATCTGGGTTCAGTTGTCAGAACCCAGATATGGCTCACACTGTACCCTCAATGCCAGAGCATCTGATGGCCTCTTTTGGCTTTTTAGGCACGAGAAGTCTCATGAAAATATTAAGTGAGTAACTATACTTATATATACAGAGGATCTGGTGTAGACCCATATAAGCCCTGAACTTACTGCTTCAGTAAATATGGCATAATTATTAAAATCTTTCACAGAATCCTTTTTCACATGGGGAGTTTTTAAGGCATATTATGTAAAAGATCAGATTACAATTCATACAAAATGTAATTACATTTTTGAAGAAAAAGGTAGACATTAAGAATAAGAAAAGCATGAAGTGATATGTTCAATGGTGGAATCATGGATAGTTTCCATTTTTTCCTCTCCTTATTCTTTTTTGAGATGAGATCTTGGTAGGTTGCCCACATGGGCCTAAAGCTGATAGACACAAGTGGTCTTCCTGTCTCAGCCTCCTGAGTAGCTAAGATTAGGCAAGCACAATCTCACCTGACTTTATTTTTCTGTGTGTGTGCAATTAAACTTTTTTTTAGTTAGAACTAAAAATTATGAGATAAAAATTATCCATAATCTTATAACCTCCTTCTAACCATCATTTTTTAATCTCATTTTTCATTGACATAAACATATGTGTGTTAGTTTATTACAACTAAGATAACATTAAGTTATATTTCTGTATTTAACTTAAATACTTAATTTGAGAGTGTCAACAAAAAGTGTCTTACTGATTTCATGCTTGCTGATTTATCTAGGACCAAGCAGACTACCCGCTGTTTGGACTTCAGCAGTGAAAATGCAGGTCTGGGCAGGGCTACTTTTCCTATCATTGGAGAGGAATTCTGAAAATCAGCAGACTTCTTGATTATGTTCCATGTGCTTCTGCCATTGCACATTTTGTTTTGTAGGTTTGGGGCTTCTCTATTGTGGGTATTTTTCTGTGCAAAATTTAACCACCTGAAAAAAAGAAAAAAAAATTCAAACATGATATTGTAAAAACTTGTAAGGGATCACCTTCTTTTCCAAATATGAAGTTAGCTACCTTGTGCATCCTGAACAGGATTTGTCTCCTGATGAGAATAACTTTATAATCAGGTGTTTGGACATACATTTTACATGCCTCTAGTGCAAGTGAGTCATACTATCAACACACACACACAGCTAATGCTTTTTGGATATTTTAAAGTTAGACCATCAATGAAGAATGGAGGCTGGTCATGTGATTAAGTCACCTTCCTGTTTCCTCATCTAAACATTTGAGGATCTCCCATTTGGAATTATATTTACAGAAAGAGTGTTATGGCTTCTGGTAATTTCTGTCCCCTAAAAGTGGAATAGGAGAGATGGCAGTCCTTTATTGTCAATGCTCCACATCTCCGTAGTTGGCCCAGAAACTTGAGGACAGTTACTCTAGCCATTTAGCTTGTTATTAGTGTCGATGAATGACACATATTAACAATACCCTTGAAAGATAATAAAAGTATAAGAGATGTACACATTTCTCCTAGTGATGAATTGCATCTAATAATTCTGTCAGTAGATGTTTTTATTACTCTAAACCCTGAAAATCCTCTGCTGGAGAGGATTTTGAATGTTCTTACCACAAAAAAGAGCATAAATCTTTAAAATAATGAGTATGCTATTTAGTCCTATTTCATCATTTGACATTCTGTCTATTGAAATGTCACACTGTATCCCATAAATTTATTATATGTCAAGTAAAAACAAAAATTAAAAAGGATTGGGTTTATCTAGGGAAAGAGATGAGTAGATATTTTGAAAATACATTATCCATTTTAAGATAAAAATTTAAGGCTTGTTTTGTACCTACCTTGAATCAAGCACTGAGCTTAAACTTATTTATATTAGACTTTATAAACATAACAATAACAATGAGAAACAAATATTTCAATTTCATTTTTAAAATAAGCGGACTAAGTATCATAGTTAGTAATGGTCTCTCAGCGACATCTTGAGAATGACAGGGTGGGTTTCTATGTCAAGTCCATTGACATTTGTTGAAACCCATCAAACTATGTATTTAAACCATTATCTCTGTGAACTTTTGTTCTTATATCTCTCTATTTTATGGAGGCAGGGCCATGTATATTTCCCAAATATTATAATTTTATAATGGTTTGGTAAACTTTAGTGAGAAGAAAGTGGAAAATCTAGATGTCAGCTGAAAACTCCATTGTAGATTACTTTGGGAGTGATAGGAATAAACACTTGCGAGAAACATTAAAGTAAGGTTGTTATTCTGCACCCAGGCACAATAGACATCAGTAAGAGAAGGATTTAAGAAGTTATGTGACTCACTAAGAAGGGTACAGAGCTACATTTGAAGATAACGAACAGGTTAATAAGAAGGGGTAGGATACTATCCAGACACCCTTGACATGGGCTGAATGAGTGCTTTTCCTTCTCTTTGTGGGGATGCTTACTATCATAGACTTATATCTTCATCACTTGATACTTTGCAAGGATTCTTTCTTGAGTAAATGGAAAGTACTTACAGAATCAAGACTTTGCATGAACATTATGGAGTCCCTGGCTGCTTGGGCTTTGTTTGGGATAAATGTACATTTGGGCTCATACAGTCCTGTCTTTGAATCTCGATGGCATTGCCTTGATATGCAGATGCCTCCCTGACATTCTTTCACCATGATTCTGCCAGAAATGTGAGTGGAACATCTATGATAATGAATTGAATTACTTTTGTGGTGCAAGCTCTTGAACCCATGGCCTGTGCATGTTAGGTAAGCCCTCTACCACAAAGGTACACCATCAGCCCCAGTTTTGAAGCCACACATTCTGTTTTTAAATTGAACTTAGGCAAGTCAGCAATAAAGACCAATGTTACGAAGTCTTTTTCTCAGTGACAACTCTGTTTGGTCATGCACAAGCATTTCATTTTGACAAAAGTAGGCACAGTGATTGCCTGTCCACACCCTTGGTTTTAGTAAAAGCTGTATTTTCTATGTACACTCTTAAGCAGGCATTGGCTTCTTGATATGATCAATAAATATATTTTCCCTGTGGTTTTGGCATAAGATAGTAATTTCAAACTTACATGGATATTATAAAGATTAAATTAGGTAAGAGTTACAGAGGAATTATTTTTTTTTAGTGAGGACAGGAAGTCAAAATGTGCTTAAAATCTTCTTAAATTTCTATGTTTAAATTATATGGTTTTCAATTTGGTACAGTAATTTGTAGTTTACATTTTTATAACCAGTAAGCTGCTAATGGAAGAACTGGAAGGACACAGGTGTCAAACCGTTGGGCTTCACGACAAAGATAGTTGTCAGATCCCTGTCAGAGAATATTAAAAGGATTCTAAAACCTTCTTTATGTGTATAATTTCTTCCTATTCATACTTCATGATATTAGTTCATATTACAGTTTGTATTGCAAGGATAATAGTAGTTGTAATGTATTTCAAGAGAGATGGCTCTAGGGTTGTCTGAGAAGGTTATCTTATACATGATGAGACTCAAAGTTTCTGGGAACAGTGCAGGGACACTGTAAATGTGGGTTTAGAGCCTTGTTTACACTAGTATATATCTTTTTATAACTGATGATAGCAAAATGCATTCATTTGTTTAATGTTTTAAATACTTATCATTTGATAATCCTTTGCTTAGTTTTGACTTTGTTAGAAAACTACAAAAACAAAACAAAACCCATAGTCTCAAGGATCTTCAGCCCTATTGGGAGAAAACAAATCTCCTGGATGGCTAAGGCTGATTAGTAGAAGTCTGAGAGAGGCACACACTTGCTCTCTGGAAACTCTCTTCAGGGTATCTAACCTCCAATGGGAGGAGCAGAGAGACTAAGAGGAGAAACAGGTAAAGGTTGAATAGGTATTGTCTAGGCAAGGGATAGTTTTGTGGGGTGGAAGTTGGGGTAGGCGGCCATGCTGAGAGCAGCCCTACCTGTGTGCAAGACTCAAGGCAGCTTGACACACCACACATCACAAGGGGATGGGAGTAGAGGGTTCTCTAGCATCCTCCCTGATCTAACTGATATTCTCTCATAGAATTATTTTCTCCAAACACTGGTTCCTATTGTTCTCAAAACTTCCTCAATATTCTAAGTGTTTGCTACTTTGAATTTAAAAGTCAAATTAAACATCTTACCAGTTCATGCATAGGGCTTTTGTAAATCTAACCCTAGAACTGTACTTGAACTACCTAATAGAGAATGCTGAAGAGCCAGCTGTAAATTGGAAGTTTTAGCGTCAGATTAGGTCACACTGTGATACCTTGTTGCTTCAATAGTGTTCTTTTCAGACATGTAGAAGGGCCGGTCTCTGTTATACTCATCAAATACTCCCCACCGGAGATGGGCCCACTCATGGACAAAGACTCTGCCTGAGAGAGAAGATTGTCATCTATAAAGCTGTAGTTGAAATAATTTAAGGATGATTTTTCCTTCTACTTTGAATTTCTTGCTCATCTGCTAACCTGAGCTGGAGACCTCTAGAAATCAATATTTTTCATTAGCCCAAAAAAGATAAAATGGAATGAAACCAACAAATGACTCATTTAATTATCAACTTTATATATACAACAGGATGATTATAATCAGCATATTTCTAAATGAAGGTATTACTTAATGTTTACTTTACTTTACATTTTAGAAATCCACATTAATAGTGGTGGTTTGCTCTTTCCCAGTGGAAATATGAAGTATAAAATATATATTTCTACCTCGGGGTCCATACATAGGCAAATTTTCAGTCAGTTGGAAGTTTGGAGTAAAATGTATGTACTGTCCTCTGTCTCCACATTGTCCATATTGAAGTGTGTAGGGATCATCTCCATATTTCAGATTAGGATCAGCAACTATGACGTCTGCCTAAAATGCAGAAGAACAAACCCAGTCAGATTACAAGGGTTTTAGAAATGACATTTTTCTGAATGGAAACACATGAACTATGAACCAAAGGCTGAGGGGCCCCCAGCTGAATCAGGCCCTCTGAATAGGTGAGATAGTTGATTGGCTTGATCAGTTTGGGAGGCAACTAGGCAGTGGGACCAAGTCCTGTGCTCATTGCATAAGTTGGCTGTTTGAATCCTGGAACTTATGCTGGGACACTTGGCTCAGTCTGGGAGGAAGGGACTGGACCTGCCTGGACTGCGTCTACCAGGTTGATCGCAGTCCTTGGGGGAGGATTTGCCCTGGAGGAAGTGGGAATGGGGGGTAGGCTGGGGGTAAGGGGAGGAGGTGGGAGGGGGGAGAATAGGGGAACCCGTGGCTGATATGTAGAACTGAATGGTATTGTAAAATAAAATAAAATAAAATAAAAAGAAATGACATTTTACAAACAAGGATAATTTCTTTTACACCCATAAAAGCTGTATTACTAGTTTTATTCCCAACACAATTAGCATTTACCAAAATGTACATATTCATTTGTAAAAGGCACAGGAAAAAGTTTAAGAGAGGGATATGACACCTACTTGGTCATATGATTCTCGTTTTGGTGTTAAGTACTCAGATTTTGACTTCCAGGTCATTGGGACCAAAATGCTTTCATTCCTGAAATAAAATCTTCTTTTGGTGGCTTCAAACAGGTAAGTAGAGGCTTGAGTTATCATTTCCTGATAAAATTAAAAGTGCATTGTGGTAACTGAAAGACCCTAACCCTTCAGGCTTGCACTCCCCAAGCCCCAGGAAATGAGAAACTAAAAAAACTAGTTCGAAGGGCCACCTGACTCAGCCATTATTCAACCTGTGACAATGTAACAATGTAAAAAGATTTCTGTTAAGAAATGTGCTCAACTGTGACTGGGATAGTTGCAAGTGTTCCAGGAAGGACCACCATGACCTGTATGTAAACTCCACTCCTGCCTTGATACCCCCCTTGAGGTTTCAGGAAGAATGTACCTGTTGATATAACTGTACCCCTCTGTGATCACTCTGTAACTAGACCATGATCTTAGGAAATTAGCCTCTAGACATAAATCAATCGAAATGACATTATATGAAAATTGTAATCTTGTGGGTTTTGTGGATTTTTCCTTTAAAAAGCACTCACGGGGCTGCAGTAGGTTGTGATTCTTGCTCTTGGGAGCAGAGGAGGCCTTCTGTACAGAAGCTTCAATAAAATCCTCGTGCTGTTGCATCAACTGGACTGGAGTCTGGGTTCTTGGGGCACCCACTTGAGACCCTAAACTTTGGGGTCCAACAGTAACAATGTCACACAATGAAATTAGCATTAAAGTATGTACATAAACTAGAATCGAATCAAAGCCTCTTTACCTCAAACAGGATAATTTTACAAAGTCTCTTAAATCGTAAGTTTCTTTTTACGTGCCCAAATTCATGTGTGCCTTTACCTATAACCTCTTGAGGCCAGCAGTGAAGGTTGGCATTAGGAGCAAAGATGCTGGATCAGTTATAAAAGTAATTAGGATTGGAAGTCTGTGGGAGATGCTTGGAAAATTAAGGAAGGGTTAAGCATCTAACTTAGCAGTCAGAACCCAGTCTACAGCAGAAGGGAGGGGCTGGAAAAGAGGACCATGGTCAATATCCTAGAGCTGACTAGGACAGCAGATCTGCAGTGCACTGGGCATTCTCAGCTGGACATGCAGAAATGGTTGAATTCTTGCTTCACCTTGGAGTGCCAGTGAATGAGAAACAGGAAGCTGGTTGTTCTCCTCATATTGCTGCTCCTGTTAGCCTGGATCAGATTATAAAAGTTCTTCTGGAAAAAGGTGAAAAAGTGAATGCTGTCAATCAAAATGGCTGCACTCCCTTTTCTGTGCAGCTTTGACAAACAAGCTGAGATCTCTGTCCTGTTATAAGAAGGTGGGGCTGATCCATACACAGATGCTAAACACCATTATAAGGACCAGCAATGAATCCAATGCACCATCAGCAGCAGAGAGCAACTGAAGACGGTTTTGCATTTCTGCACTAGAAAGCTACCACAAACACCTAAGAGGCTGAGGGTCATACTTCTCTACATTTTCCTGTGATGAGGATAGAGTGGAAGAAGCAAGGTGGCTGGCCACCCAAGGAGCAAGTGCATACCAGAGAAGAAGGAAGAGAAGACACCCGGGCAAATGGCCAAAGGTGGCCTGTGTTAGTACTCAAGAGAATGGTGGAAAGTTGAGTGGTCAGATTTATTCTTTATATGTTTTGTCCCTAATGTCCTGGGAATTAATGTATTGTGCACAGAATGTCTTGCATGGATGATAAGTTTTCTCAGTCCAAATCTTATATTTTATACAACTTGAGAATTTATAGTTTGGCATATTGTTATACTTGATGTTGACTTTGTCATTAATGAGCACACTATACATAGAGAAGAGATAGCTAAAAATAATTATAGTAAAAATTTCTCCTTAACATCAAGTACAATAAAAGGCAAAGTTTTACCAAGTGGTAATAATAAAACTATGAAAGGTTGGATAGTTTCATTTCTGTCATTTATTTTATGACTATAAGTCAATTTCTCATTTACATAAGTGTTAGAATCCTCTGGACCACATCTTAGTGATACTGAGAGGATCTAAGAATAGAGCACATGTGCTATGTGCTAAAAACCTTTTATTACAAGTAAAATTAGAAACAAATTGATATAAAATGTGTCAGGCTTGTTTTCTTTAAGGCAAGATAGGTAAGGAATTTAGGTTTTCTGAAGATGTGCATGTGGGAGCAACTGATGTTAATATATAATAAAAATAGAAAACTAAGCAGATACTCATCTTGACTGTAATAATACTGCAGACATGATGAATACAGTCAAAGAGTGTGTGTGTGTGTGTGTGTGTGTGTGTGTGTGTGTGTGTTTAAATGCCTAGGTAAAAAGAATTATTGACATGCAAATATGCAGATAATAAAACCCTCCTTACCTTTATGCTTTGGATGAGTCTTTCATCTTCTGGCACACTGGGGTTAATTGCAATGACCACACCCTCATATCCATTGTTGTTCAGATGGACTATGGTGCTTTTCACCTCCTGCAAGAGATGCAGGCTGAGGAACAGAAGGACCTTCAGACCTGGCACCATGTTTGGACATGCTAAGTGAGGAAGCTACGAAAGGAGGGTCTTTATGTGTCTGCCTCACTCAGGGATTTGGATCCTGTATAGTGAAATACTCCTATTTCTTGATGACCTTCCTTATTGCATTCATTCTACAGATTTAGCTGCTCAATGTCAGTGGGGATTATGGTAAACACATTCATTATACTTTCTAAGACAGATAAGGCAACAGGTATTTACTGAAGTGAGCCATCTTTTGGGTTGTTTGTGTAGTTATCCTCATGGTTGTGGGTACTCTTCATTGCCATGAGCATCACCATCACCAGCACCATTGTCAGACAGCACCTGAGGTCTAAGTCTGTAGACTTCGGTGTGTTTACAGGGAGAGGCCAGCAACTGAGAAGAAAGCACCAGGAAAGAGCAGATGGAAAGGCTTGTATTAGAAAGCAAACAACAAGAGGACTTAAGTGGGAGTGGCAGAGATTTATGACTTTATATTC